AACAGTTGCTGCTCCCCCAGCACCCGCTCCTGCAGCGTGTGCATCCTTACGGAGCGGACACCGCAGCCTGGCGGCTTCTCCAGCCTCCAGCTCCTGCAGGGGTACCGGGCAGCACCCCCAGCGCCAGCACTTCTCCCGTCACCCTTCAGGCTGAGGTATGGCCAGTGCCTCTCCATAAAGAGCTCCCCCCACTCTGTGGTCGGCAGATTTTCAGAAAGTTCCAGAGGGTAGGTGTTTCTCTCCGCAGGTTCCGTTGGTGCGGCACCGCTATGACTGCTGTCATTCGGGGAGTTGTAGCTCTGCTCGCCACGTTCTGGATTTCCGCCTGGGGACTCGGGGGGAGAGGTGTTCATTGGACACGGTCTCAGCCCCAAGGGTAGTGGCTGCTTCTTACAGCCCTGCTCTTCTGATAGTCTCTAGCGTTCTCTTTACTTTGTATTAGCTAATACCTTGTTACCCCAATCACTGCACTGGTCTTTGATTGATTTTAGAGAGAGGAAGTGAGAGAGAGAGAGACATCCATCAGTTGCCTCCTGCACACGCCTGACCTAGGATCAAACCCACAACCTTCTGGTGTGTGGGACAATGCTCCAACTAACTGAGCCACACAGGCCAGGGCTTTAATCACTTCTTATAAGCTAATAATTCTTTATAATAATTTTTTTCTGATCACATTACCGTGTGGTTTTTCTCACCTGACCGGATCCTGACTTATACATCCATCCTGGAAAAATGATAGCTCTTTCTGACCGCACTGGAAGTGGTAAGGGGAGCAGCCTCCAACCAGAAAACTTCAGATTCCCACTGTTCTCACCGGAGTTTCTAGCACTTTTTCGTGAATAAAGACTCCTCGGCTTGTTGTTTTCCTTTGATCAGTTACATTTGACAATTTTGCCCACCTTTACACTGTGTTTGCTGGCAGAATTCACCCACCTGTTCACATGGCCATAGCCAGAGGTTCTCCCATCTTTAAAATTAATTTTAAGGATGTGTTTTATTGTATTAAAGCTGATTTAATACAGCACCATCAAACTTTTATAGGCTTATATTATAATTAATTTAAAAAATTAATTATAATTTTAAAATTAATTTAAAAACTTGTAGAATGGAGATTGAAATCCAAGATAATAAACACAAAAATTAGTTGAAACCATAAGACAATTCAGCAAGAGAAGATGTTAATGTATTGAAATAAGCAGTTCTCTTATATGCAAATAAGAACTGTTTTAAAACTACTGATAACAGTAAGAATCAAATTGAATAGAATAAATCTAACAAATGTTTTCTACATGTGCATCTATATGTAGAACATGAGTAACATGTATGGAGAGATTTAATGAAGACTTGAATAAGTGGAGACACCATATAGTCTTAGAAAGATGTCATTACTTTTATGATGTAATTTCTCACCAATTAATTAATATTAATCTCATAGAATGATAATCAGAATCTAAACACAATTACTTTGTACCCTAAAAACTTATTCTAAAGTTTATTAATCACATGTGAGAATATAACCAGGAAAAATTCCAAAAGTAAAGAAATGGTGCAATGATGGACAGATCAAGGGAACAGATTACAGAGTCCACAAATAGATCCAAGTTCATATGGACTTTGATATGTAATAAAAATGTTTTCCAATGAATAAAATAATAATTATGGATTATGAAATTATGACACACTCTGTATCAACATTAATTTTGGAG